AAGGCGTACTGGAAAATTTCGTAAATAATATATATTCTTTTAATCATATCGTTTATAATTTCTTTCAATTTCTCAAGTAATCAAGAAGCGCGAATATATGCACGCGCGATGGTACACAGGCATGTTCACTATTAGGATATGTTTATGTAATATGTATTATTTTTAAAAATCCCCAAAAGTAGAAAAAGGAAAATCGGTTCATGTAAGTATAGACATCACTACGGCATAAAATGGAAGGGACTGTTCATTACACCGCCACGAAAGCGAAAACGTTCACCACACCGCCGGTAAAATCAACAGCTTGCGACAGGCCTGTGAGATTTCTGGCTGTGTACTAAAGGGTGGCAAATCCAAGTCATCCTCAACGGCGCTGATTTGAGATGAATCATCGGGTACTTCGGTTTCGTTGTCATCTTTCCCATTCCCGCAGTCCTTGCATCTGCACATGTCTGTACATAACAATTTGTTCGTTTTAAACATGAACAGCCACCCTTAATGCACTTGGTAGTCTTACAGCCACATTTAACAACCTTCAGTAGACATTCTGGAGCCGCAGGTTTGGTCTTCCACACAACATCAATAACACCGTCTTTGACAGACCAGCCGTAGCCGTCAGGAGACGGAGCATCTATGGTTGAATAGTTCAACTGGTACCATATTAGTCTTAATGAGGTCTTTACTTCTAGGGGGCCATTTCCTCTGCTCTGGCTGGACATTGTTTATTTTGTTCTTTAAATAAACACCTTTAAAATGGAAAAATGTCACTCTGTTGTAAAGTTGTAAAGAGTATTGTATAGGATTATACGTTTGAGGGAAGGACAAATAAATTTGAATAATTTCGTAATTTATACATTAATTTTGTACCCATTTATACATTTCGTTTGTCGAGTCAAATACAAACAACGAATTCATGCAACAAATTTGATGGGCTAACCAAATAAGCTTGTAACAAACTAAACCAAATAACAAACTGTCCAAATATTGCAGTATATTTGTACTCCTTAGAATAATACACCACTAAAAAATCTAAAAATTCTAACCTGACATAAACAATTCTTTAAATGTATTTTCAGAACTGCCTTCCTGACTTGTTTGATGCCTGTCAATTCTACTACTTCTAATCTCATTTTCTAAAACTTCTGAAGAGTCATTTTCATCACTTTCATCTTCAACACTAGAAACTTGACTTCTAGGCAAGTACTGCTGTGCTATGTCACCAGCTGTTACATTTTGACAATATACAATTGTGGATTCATTCCTAAACGAATACGGTATTATCAGTACAGGCATGTTAATTGTCAAAAACATATATAATTTTAGTTCTATTTGAGTGTATAGCATTGATCATAATGTTTTCACACTTATAAACGAAAAACACTGAGTGATTTACAAACCTTCTTGATGGAATGCAGGACTCGAAATAACGTTCGCAACGTTCCCGACCATGGTGATCGGCAATGAGGACTTTTTGCCGATCAAATAAAAATCTGGCCGATCAGGAGCATTTACCTTCATTTCCTTCAAAAAATTCTAAATATGCCAGTGGGCATTGAATACACATTTGAAGTTTAACTTTATTTCAAATTGAAGTTTAAATCTATGACATTTGTGGACTTATATATACACTACTAATAGTGTAACTATATTTAACTAGTGCTTAATAAACTTTATTTTATTATAACACTTTAGTTTAACACACAGTTTTAATTATACCATTGCATTTTTTCACACAAAAGCAAGAAACACAGCAGCATTATCAATTAAGAACTAAAACTTATTATTTTATATTAAAAGAGAAAATCCTACTAAAAATAAAAAATCCTACTCAAAAAATCCTATCAATTTGAAATTATTATACAAAGATACGTTCGTCGTCAGCGGTTCGGATTGCAGACTGTACTGTTGAAAAGACGACAATATTTCGTGTAAATTTGTTTTAATAAAAGTAAATTAATTACTTTAGAGCGAGAACAGTATTGCTGCCTTTCCTGTCGTATGACTCGTATCAACTATACAAGAGCTTTTCGCGTGTTTTTAAATGTGTTTTATGTTTACTTTTATTTGTCTTTTACCGTGTACAGGTAAGCATGTCTTTTAGACAATGCTCAAATATATTTCTTGCCGATCAAGGTGAACGGCAACGTTGATTCTTCACCGATCAAAAAAAATTTCCTGCCGATCATTGATCGTTGATCGGCCGTTATTTCGAGCCCTGGGAATGTGAAACACAAGTTGCTCAAAATCCCTTTGTAATCTCACTCTCAACATATCAGATCTTAAAGAGAAAAAATGGGTAATTATCCAACTAAGACAATCAAGAGATGTGACATTTTTACAAAAAAAATGTTTCTAAAATAATAAATTAATGCATATAATGATATATAAGCCCATACCGTATGTTTTCTAGGTGCACAGTTCTTCAAGCTGTATATGTTTGAGAAGTAGTTGCTGCAATTTCGTCAAGCGCAGAATCTCACAATTCACTTCTAACCTTTCTTTGATCACTATTTTACAGAAAGCATCATAACCTGCTTTGTGCTCAGAAAAGAAGTTTGTTTTCCTAAAACGTAACATGTAACCATAAGGGATGGACCATTAGAAAAGTGATAAGTGATGGGGGGGAGGGGGGATTTTCTAAGGGGCAATATTTTTTTTTTTGTACACCTATAGAAGAAATTTTTTTTTTCTCACTTGATGGCTGGAAATATATATTTTTTAATTAAAATTTATAGGCCTATCTTCCAAGGAAGGATCTTTTTTTGCACTATGGCTGGGAAGATTTTTTTTTTCTAATTTGTTTCTGGGAATAATTTTTTTGGGGGGTTTTTGCCCCCCCCCCCCATCACTTTTCTAATGGTCCGTCCCTAAATAAGAAATGTACTTTATTTCCTATTTGTATTGTTAATTTTCAAGTGAAGGTAAACAACAACAAAGACATCTGAAACATTATCTATAAAAATTAACTATAAAAATCAAAACTTACTTTTCACCAACAGAGTCATTTCCTTTTAAAACACGGACATAATCATTGTAGCAGCTCTTATGGTACTGGACCTCAATACATGAACAGTCTTTTCCTCTAATGTCCTTCAAGATAGTTTCGTCATCTATCCTTTCAGCAGCACTACGAAGCTAGCCTAAAAAGTAGGAAAATGTGTGCCTTTGAAAATGTGTGCCTTTGAAAATGTGTGCCTAAAAAGTGAGGAAATGTGTGCCTTTGAAAATGTGTGCCTAAAAAGTGGGAAAATGTGTGCATTTGTGTGCCTTTGATAGACTACACTTGATAAGTTGACTATAAATCATTATATTTTAAGCAGAAAATAACCAACGTGATAAGAATACACACATACTGAACATCCCTTCTGCTTTGGGCTTTTTATCTCAATCTTACCTGCATCTGATGTTTCTGCTTTAGACAATGATTCATGCACCCACTTTCCCTTAATCTTAGTCCTTTTAGTTAGCTTTTTGCAAATAATACACAACTTGGGTAGAATTGTATGTGGTTGTTGGGACATCTTTGGGACCTTGCTTCGGAGAAATGGCATTTTGGGTTTTGATGGTGGTACAGCTGGTTCTTCTTCCATTTTCCTTTTTCTCTCTAAAGTTCTCCTTGCCTGCATATAGAAATAAATAATCTACTATCTAACACAATGGCACATATATATAACTACAAAATACTACTACAAAAAAAGGCTATTACGGTATTGCATAACATTTTAGCATAGCTTTTTAATACTTTATAAGAAATACATTTAAACAAATTTAATATAACTAATGCAAACAATACTCCCATTCCAAAAAAAAAGTATAATATTACAAATTACAATATGCTGTAAAATTAAATTGACAAACTTACCTTGTTTATAATAGAAATATTAGTAAATTTTTGATAGCACTCCTCGTGGAATCCAAAATCTGGATAACGTTGTTTGGCATCTTCCAACCGAATCAGGCCACTATTTATATCAACCAAATCGGTCAATCCTTTTCTTTCCAAAATGAGAGCAATGTCAAGTTGTTTTCCGTATAAACCTTTCCAATCTTTGATTCGTTTTACTAATGTCTCTAACCTCTTACTTGTTAGCGGTTTAATATCGTACTTTGCACATCAACAATATGTAAATAACACTTGTTATTCAAATAAGGCAAAATTTGGGCAGAAGTTGAAGCCGCCATGTTGTTTCTAACCCTATCAACATTACACCCCTATTATCCCGTCAAAATCTTGATATGTTCCCTGTTAAACCCCCATTATCCCCGAAGCTGTAAAAAGGGTCAAAAAGATAAAATTTTCACATTTTGCAAAGGAAATTTTGGAACAAATATTTGATTTTATATTTATCACACTGTGATCTAACTAAATAACTAAAGTTTAGGTAGTTTCGTTATTCAGGAACGAAACTGAAAGATAGCAATTTCGCCCAACGGTCTATATTGGCGCCTAATATTTCTACATCATTGGTTTTCCCTATATGGAAGTGTTGCATAGATAAGAAATATGGTTACTTAGCAACCGTACAGCATTTTCTGCATAATTCATATTTTTAAAGGGAATTCGTTCATGCAGAAATTTGGAAGAGGTTTTTGTCGTTGTAAAATGTGTTTAAATATACGTATGGATAAATGTAATGATTTATTGTGTACTCTATATGTATTCCTTATGGTATTTACACGGTTAAAGCTAAGGTGAGTCCATTTACAGTGCTAATATTTTTTATATGTACTGTTGTACAAAGTTTCAAGATATATAAAAGCAGTTATCCACTTCCCCGTTTATAATGCGAAAATATAGGCAAACTGTTCTAGTTTTTTATCTGGCATATTACGTGGAATTTGCCGAAGCGTTAATTGTAGTCATCGAAGACTACTAGGGAATGTTTCCTAGTAGTTTTTTGTGACTGTAAACAGTGCAATTGTGGTGGTCAATTGGCTGGCCTTGTAACAATATGGACTTCAGGTGTTTGGATTTTTATTTGTCTATGTTACAATCTTATTTCCATTCAGGATTTTATATTCTTCTGTCGTGTAATGCACTGCAGTGTCATAAAGGTACAACACCATGAAAACTAGGCGACCATGCATAGCTGTGTTTACACCACAAGCCTGGCCAAGGCCTACCTTTGGACTAGATTTTTGTAGTGTAAACACACTTTGGCCTGGTCTAGGCCAGGAAATCTGGGCCCATCAGAACAGGTGTTCCAAATTTCCTGGCCTAGGCCAGGCCGAAGTGCATTTACACTACAAAAATATAGTCCAAGGGTAGGCACAGGCTTAGCCTCAGCTTTCAATGATTTTGTCAGACTTAATTCTTCATCAGATTATCATATTTGTCGTCGGTCCAGTCGACGCTTTCCATCGTTTGTGGCACTGCATCAGTAATTTCTCCACCATGTCCCCTGAGTTTCATTCTTCGCACTCATCATTCCCATCATGTTTGTGCTTGAATCGACTGATGTCAACACCAACAGATTTTAGCCATTCTTTTGCAATTTGTCCTCCACACAGTCTTTTCTATTTCACCCTGAGTGTTCTTGATGTTATGCTTTCTTTCTAAAGTTGATCAGTTTAAAACCATATTATCTGGATACTTTTTCACTTCTCTCATTTTCTCCTTATCAAAATTTTGTTTCCTAAGTTTCAATTCCAAGTTCTCTTCTTCATGCATGCCTGCTTCGATGTCGTGATTGCTGTGTTGCTGCTAAAGACTAGCGGTTACTACAGCATCTTAGGAATATAGAAGTATATTATTTTAGTTTGTTATTCCTGCTTGTACATGATTATTTCTGTCTTTGCATTAAATTGCATATACTGTATGTTCACTCAAAGCTTAATCCGTGGCCAGGAGCTCTGGGAGGTAACTATAAGACAATACTGTAGCAAGTTTGACAAAAGCCCTCGACTCAGGATGAGAGTTGCTTCAATAGCAATGAGCTAACACTGTAAAATTTTCTAACACATTAACCACAAATAGAATAATTTTTGTCGGTTAAATATATTTTGCGGCAACAAATTTGATTGCGTTAGAACTTAGAAGCTATTTAATATACTGCATCACAGACATATTGTATTCAGCCTATTCACCTCATAACTGATGTATTCTTCCAGTGCTCTTCCAATCAAGCTTTTGTCTTTTGTAAATAATTTCTTCTTTCTCTTTTTCTAAGCACAACTCTTCTTCACTTGGATATTCAATGTGGGAAAAGTGGTCAGGGTCTTCTCAAGGGGTACATTAAAAACTCGCTGGAATACTCGGTTAATTTCATCATACACCGTTTGTGCGCCAGTCTGGTATTCTCGCCGTGTACACTTTATCTGTACAGGCTGTTTTATACTTTAATACATTAGCTGCAATATTTTGAGCGTGTCTAATTTTGACAGATTATAATCTTAAATTACTGATAAATAAGGCTCTTGTTTCATTATAGCACTCGATCAAGATTTATCCTGTGCAATATTGTCTGCGAAATTTATAGTAGCCTTTTAGACTTGTAGTATTATAATTATAAATTAAAGCATCAGCATGTTGTGGTTATTAAATGCGAAGTTGTGCAGATAATTTGGTCACCTGAATGGTTCTGTGCGTTCGACATTCACTTGTATATGAAAACAATGATATGATATGTATATATTTTTGTGTATTACAATTGCCAGTTTTAACCTTGCGCAAAGCAAAATGTGTATGGAAACATGTCTTTATGCTCTAATTGCTCCTCGAGTTATTATGATCTCCATTTTGAGCGTTCTTTGTTGCCATGGCTATGCGGGAAACCGCTGTGTGTAGAATCAGGGCTCACTCGACAAAAATGGCGGTTTTTACGATTTATTTACTCGGCTGAATCATAAACTTCAATGGCTTTGCAGGAAAGGATTTTATTATCAACCATTAAAGGATTAGGCGCTAATTATCTACAAAATATGTCCAAGTTCTTGAGAAAAGTCGTAAACCGAAAAGATTTTGATTAGAAGTAGCTTTAATTATCGAAAATATTCAAGTAGAAACGCTTGTTTTGACTTTGGATCCATTTTACGCAACAATAACACAACATTTTCACGGATACAAGTTTGAATATGTTAGAAGAGTTCCTTGGCAATCTATTTGTAATTGAATGTTTCAGTGAGAACACGTTAATCATTCCCTGCAAAGCGGTTGAAAAAGTTCCATGTTTTTGTTGCTATTTTTAGACCAATAACTGGTCACGTGACACGTTTTTAAAAATTTTAGGTCTGTTAACAAATTCTAAAATTATGTTGAGTAACATTAACGCCCAAAACCCTGTCAATTTATCTTAAAATCGTTGTAAATAATTTTACTTTTATTTTTCATGAATTAATGCTCACTGTGAAACCTGACCCAGTCATTAACGCACCTGAGTTCAATAGTTCGTGCGTTAAGACAAAATGTTGGAAAAAACTTATTTTTGCACATTGCAGCAAATAGTGCTATTCGGTCAAACGCAACCTGCTGAGCACAACGCGCTGAGTTTCAGCTCGATTGGTTCAATAGTTCGTGAGATATGACAAAATGTTGGAAAAAACATATTTTTGCACATTGCAGTAAATAGTGCTATTCGGTCAAACGCAACCTGCTGAGCACAACGCGCTGAGTTTCAGCTCGATTGGTTCAATAGTTCGTGAGATATGACAAAATGTTGGAAAAAACTTATTTTTGCACATTGCAGCAAATAGTGCTATTCGGTCAAACGCAACCTGCTGAGCTCAACGCGCTGAGTTTCAGCTCGATTGGTTCAATAGTTCGAGAGATATGACAAAATGTTGGGAAAAACTTATTTTTGCACATTGCAGCAAATAGTGCTATTCGGTCAAACGCAATCTGCTGAGTACAACGCGCTGAGTTTCAGCTCGATTGGTTCAATAGTTCGTGAGATAAGACAAAATGTTGGAAAAAACTTATTTTTCCACATTGCAGTAAATAGTGGTATTCGGTCAAACGCAACCTGCTGAGGACAACGCGCTGAGTTGCAGCTCGATTGGTTCAATAGTTCGAGAGATATGACAAAATGTTGGAAAAAACGTATTTTTGCACGTTGCAGCAAATAGTGCTATTCGGTCAAACGCAACCTGCTGAGCACAACGCGCTGAGTTTCAGATCGATTGGTTCGTGAGATATGACAAAGTATTGGAAAAAACTTATTTTTGCACATTGCAGCAAATAGTGCTATTCGGTCAAACGCAACCTGTTGAGGACAGCGCGCTGAGTTTCAGCTCGATTGGTTGAATAGTTCGTGAGATATGACAAAGTGTTGGAAAAAACTTATTTTTGCACATTGCAGCAAATAGTGCTTTTCGGTCAAACGCAACCTGCTGAGCACAACGCGCTGAGTTTCAGCTCGATTGGTTCAATAGTTCGTGAGATATGACAAAATGTTGGAAAAAACTTATTTTGCACATTGCAGCAAATAGTGCTATTCGGTCAAACGCAACCTGTTGAGCACAACGCGCTGAGTTTCAGCTCGATTGGTTCAATAGTTCGTGAGATATGACAAAATGTTGGAAAAAACTTATTTTTGCACATTGCAGCAAATAGTGCTATTCGGTCAAACGCAACCTGCTGAGCACAACGCGC